CGCATCACAAACCTAAGCTGATATCGTATTTAACAGCGAGAAACTGAAAGCTTTCCCTCTAAGATTGGGAACAAATTGAGGATGCCCACTATCACCACTTCCTTTTTGAAAGGTTTTAACAGTCTGACAACAGGAGCTAAAAGGAATTCAGGCTGGAAAAGAAGAAGTAAAACTACCACTATTTGCAGATGTGTTATATATAGAAAACCCTCGAAACTCCACCAGAAAGCTACTAGAAACAACAAATGGTTCCATAAAGTGGCAGGCTACAAAATTAACACACAAAAATCTGCTGCATGTCTATCCACAAATCATGAGAAGAAAAATGAAGAAAACAATTCCATTGATACTCGCATCAAAAAGAATCAACTAGGGGGCTTCCCCTGGTGGCGCAGCGGTTGAGCGCTGGGTTGCGAAGCTGCCAGCAGCCTCTGCAGCTCCGATTTGATGCCCGGCCATGGGGCGAAGGTCCCACATGGCGCACAGACCTCTCCTGCCGCCCGCTGCTCCCCTCAGCAGTGTACTTCATCAGTCTGCCTGCTCTGCTCTCCCCTCTGGCTCTGGTGAATTCTCTCACCCTCCTGTACTCTGACTGTACCCAGTGCTTGTATAAATAAATAAATCTTCAAAAAAAAAAAAAAAGAATCAAATAGGTAGGAATAAACTTGATCAAGTTGGTTGAGGCTTTCTACAGGGGAAAGTCAAAGGCACCGTGCATTGGAAGACAGAACAACACGTAAAAAGAAGGATAATCTATATTCATGGGCAGCGATAGCTAATAGTCAAATGACCGTTTTATTTTACCGCAAGAGACATACAGATTTAATGCCTTCCCCGTTAAAATTCCAATTACATTCCTTAAGGAAATAGAATAAGAAATCCTAAAATGTGTATAGAACTGTAAGCAACGCTGGATACATTTCTCAGAAGAAAGAAAACTGGGGGATCATGTTACCTGATCTTAAGTTATATTATGAAGCAACAGTGATTAAAACAAGCTGGTGCTGAAATAAAAACAGACTCACAGATCAATGGAACAGAAGGGATGGCGTAGAAATAAATCCATGCATGTATCAATATCTGTTCTGCGACGAGTTAGGAGCCCTGTACACACACACACACAGTGCTGGGGAAAGTGATTGGAAAAGAATGAAGTTGGAGCACGCTTTAACTCTGAACACAATAATGAATTCAAAATGGACTAAAGACTTAGATATAAGACCTGAAACTGTAAGATGCAAAGAAAAAAAAGCATCAAAGATATCAAAGATAAAGGCATCTTTGGGGACTGTAGTCCTAAAATGAAGTAAAACCAAACGCAAACAATTGGGATAATGTCAAATTAAGAGTTTTACAGAGAAAGAAAATACCAGCAGATTTGAAAGCCATCCTACTAAGTAAGAGCAGATACACAGACATCACATAACGGATAATGGGTTAACAGCCAAGGTATACAAAGGACTCATCCAACTGAATAATAAAAAACAAGCCAGTCACTAAAATATAGGCAGTAGGTTTGCATAGACAATTTTCCAGAAAACCAACAGATAAACAGGAAGTGTTGGTCATCATGTCTCACCAGGGAAACGTAAATCCAAACTACAATCAGATATTGTCTCGTACCCGTGAGAACAGCATAAATCAAAAGACCGCCAACAAGAAGTGCTGGTGGTAACGTGGAGAAAGAACCCTGACGTTGTTGGTGGGAATGTAAGTTGGTGCGATCCCTTGAGGAAAGCGGCGTGGCTCTATGTTAAGAAGTGAAAAAGGGAGAGACTTCCTCCCTGAACCTCTGGGGTTCAGGAATCCCCACTTGGGAACTTCCTTGCTTTTAATAGAACAATTACAATCGGAACATCTTAGGACAGAACTTGCAGCCATTCCTCTGCCGCTCTCTCTAGACTTAATTTGCAAGTAGTTTTGTCCCCTCAGGATCCTGGTCTCATGTCATTAGTCACTAACCTCAGTCCCCTTCCACCAGGGGGTGAGTCCAGTGCTTCCCTGGTTACTGAGCTGTATTTCCGGGGCTTATGGAGACAACCGAGAAATTCTTGGTATTTCAAAGGCATGTGCAATTTTGGAAACGGGAATGTGTATCGATAAGCTAGATGCTTACCTAATCACCAGATGTGTTCATATCCTTCACTGAATTTTCTTCATACCCACAGATCTCAATATTTTTGAGCATTAAAAAAGCTAAAAGCTTAACTGAAAAAAAAAAAACACCCAAGTTTTCCCAGTTGATAAAACCGTTTCCATCCGCTTTTTTAAACTATTGCTTCAGTGAGTTAAATAAAGCCCTCAACTAGTTAAGGAAAATATTCCAAAAGGGAAGTGAAAAATGTGACATACCATACAATCCTACTTGGTACCTATGTGTCATCCATGGTATCCGATGCCACATTTCATCTGTCCACACATGGAATCACCAGCGCAAAATATTACGCACTCCACAATGTTTACTGCATTATCAATAATAGCAAGGACATGGGAATGACCCACGTCCACGACAGAGGACTGGATCGGGAAGAGGTGGTCTACCCACGACAGAGTACCACTTGGCCATAAGGAAAGAGGAAATGGTATTCACAGGGAAGGAGCTAGAGGGGATTATCCAAAGCAAAGCTAGCCCCAAAGAGAGTGACTTCACATTTATAAGTGATAGAAGGAAACAAAGTAGACAAACGGACACAAAGCAAATAATTTGAAACTAGTGGACACAGATAAAGGAACTGAGGTTATGGGGGGAGCCAGGGGTGAGAAGGGAGACAGAGCATTAAGTGCATTTAAGGAACAATGGAGGATATTTGGGGGTTTTGGTTGTTTTTCCCTTCAAAAAAGAAAAGGAGAATAAAAACCACACAAGCATCTTTAATAACAAACAAAAACAGACCAGTGTCCTTGCTCCCTAGGGCCCCTGCAGGCATCGGAGTTTGTGGCCCAGATAGGTTTCTGCGGAAGCAAGAAATGGTGGGAAAGAAGGAAAAAGGAGAAAGCAGCCGATTCGAAGGTGACTTCTGCACAGAGTCTCAGGGCTGCAGATGCGAAGCAGCAGGCTGGGTGCAAAGCGGCTGGCTTTCCTTTCTGGCTTGGGGAACTGACACAAGGAAGGCTTTTGCGGCCCTGGAAAAAGAAATGTTGCCCGGGAGCCTTTGGGGAAGGGGAGAGAGCAGGCTGTTTTGGACAAGGTGAGTCCGAGGAGTCTCAAGGACCTCCAGAAATGGGGGCTTTGAAAGGGCAGCTCACAGAAAGAGCGGAGCCCAGGGGAGAAGCACCTGCGCAGAGACAGCCCTGGGTTGACAAGGCGCAGTTCCCACCTCTCTGGAGTCACAAACTCTCTTCTGGAGAAACCCAGGCGGCCTCCCAATCCAGAGAAATTATAAACACCCACAACTGGGGTTAGTGGTGTGAGGATAGTGACGATCACCCCAGGCCTGATACTTCACTCTCCTGAGGCCGACAGAAGAACAGGCCGGACCTTAAGAAATAGCAAAAGCCAAAGCAGTCCCCCAACCTTGGCCAACTGAAGAATCACCAGGGGAATGTGCCCAAACTTGCCTCCCCTCTGCCCTGCTCATTCCAAACCTCCAGGGGCCAGTCATGGCGATGGAGAGCTTTCACAGCACGCTTCCTAGAGTGGGCAGCAGAAGTCCTGCTGCAAGGAGCAGGCAGGACAGCAGCAAAGAACATAATCAGAGTCAGTAGAGAAAAGGGAACATTCCAGAAAAGAGGGGACTAGGCAGGGTCAGATACTTGGAGTGCCAGTGGATTTGGCAATGAGGTCGCCATGGGTGACCTTATAGAGCTGTTTTGGTAGAGAAATGAGCCAGGCTGCCCAGGGTACAGGGAGAAGGGGTCAAATATCCTGCAGGTCAGGTGAGGGAAAGGTTATGAAAAGGTCTGCTTTTTTGTAGGATGGGAAAGACTGGAGTGGACTAATCCAGGGGGAAGCAGGAAGTGCGAACGAGGGGAGGTAGCTGGCTAGTATCCTACGAGTCATTTATTGCCATCTTAAGGGTGACCCACCACCCAGCTGAGGGCTTCACAAGCCTCAACTTGCTGAACTCTGATCGTGAGCCTCCACGGAGCCAGTGAGCACCACTTCACAGACCAGACAGGGGCAGACACTAAGAATCAGCCTAAGGTCATCCAGTCAATAAGTGCAGACCTTACTGTCAGGGGCCGATTTCAGGCACCTCAAATTCCTCATACCCCAAACCCAGCCCAGACTCACTTCCCCTTCCCCAACACACACAACTGTCATAAAACCAACCCTCCACTGTCATAAAACTCTGGCTCATGAATCCTGATTCTTCAGCCCTAGAATCTTCTCTCCTGCCCCATTTCCTGCCCTGTTCTGTCTCAGGCCCAACATCTGTGAGAACCTCCCACTTTCTTAACCTCTAGTGCCTCCCCCACCATCTAGTCTCTGGACATGAACCCCTCCCCAGGCTTCCCATCAAACCAGAATAAAGATCCCAGGGCAGGAGACCCTGGGGGCCCTCTCACCAGCCTAGGGCCAGCCCTCCCACAACTACCAACTTCCTCTTTTCCTTTCCTGAATTCTGCTCTTCTTCAAACTCTCAGTCTGCTGCGCCTCAGGCCTGGGTGTTTGCATCTGCTCATTCCTCTGCCAGGGGCTCTTCCCCTGGGGCTCTGATGCTGGAACATCAGAGAGGCCTGTGGCCCGCATGCAGAGCACTGCCACGCCTCTCCAACTCCTTGCCAGCTTTGCTGTCCTTCGAGGGACTTTAGCTACTCGATGTCAGATGGAGCTTTGTGTCAGTCCTGGCTTTCCCATATGATGAGCACTCTGAGCCGACATTTCAACCTGTCCCATCCGTATGCAGTATGTACATGCTGAAAATGCCTGGATGCCGTGGGCTGCTGAGCCCGCATTCTACAAAACACCTCTCATGCTTATAGCACACCGGGCAGGTATGACACCACACCCCAGGCCTGGCGGTGCCGGGAGCCCACGAGCCCCACTGTGACTGTACCTTCATTGTGCTGAGCTCTCCTCCTCTCATCCCGTGGCGTCCTGGTTCCATCGATTTTCCTAAATGAATAGGGGACAGATGGTCACGTGTTACTTCAGGTCCCACTTGCAAAAATGTTTATTATGGAGTCAGACTTAGCAATTACTTTTGCAGAGAACGAGGACATGGTGCTTTCTCGACTAATACTAGAACAACAGGAACAGGTCAAATAATACACCGAGTGCCTGGCCACCTAGCTCTCACTGCAGAAAACCTTCCTTCGGCCCCCCCATCAGGCCTTCCCAGGGGCCCCTGCTTCTGGGGCCAGGTCTCCAGCACGTACGGGGAATAGGGGTGTGTCCGGGGTGCGATCGTCCTCTGTGTTCCTGTCTGAAGCACATCCTGGGGTGTCATCATCACATAGAACTGACCTGCAGAGAAAGTAGGGGATTGTGCCAAAACTGGGGGCAGAGCCAGAATTGGTTGGGGGGAGGGGGCTTCCCTCCCTGCTGGGCCTGTTGCCTCCCCTGCCTTCCGCCCTGGCCCCTTCCTCCCTTTACCTCCGGCCTGCAAGCTCTGGTCTGTGGTCTGTACGGACACAGCCGTGGTATCTCCCACACTGGATGCTGGGAAATAGGCAAATCGTGCCTCCCCACTGACAGCCTCAGCTGCCGGGCTGCCGCCATTGCTGAAGGGGTTTTGGATTACAGCCTGGGGAGTAGGAGGACACAGAGTAGGATGGACCCTTGGCCATCTGAGCTCCCCACCCCGTCCCCCTGTTGCTGTGTTTGACATTTATTGTATTCTGGGGGGAACTGGCAACGTCTCTGTGTACCACTGCCCTGCCTCAGACAGCTCTGGAACTTGACAGGTACTCAGGAATCACTTTACCTGTCCATTCATTTTCACCTTTAACAGGCTTTTTCCTGTCACCGTCATATCCATTTTACAGAGAAGAAAAATGGTGTTCCAAAGAGGGTGCCCCAGGTCTCACTATACAAGAGGGATCTGACCCCAGGTGGTCTGAAGGCAGCATCTGTGTCCCACCTGCCCCACTCCCTGGTACTCCCCAAGACAGTCGCTGTCCCCTCTTCTTTCCCCCAGGGGTTGCTGGACACCTACCAGTGGGAAGGGTGCTGCGGGACCTGGGGGCACAGAGGCAGCAGCGGGGCCAGGGCGCTGGGACGCGCCATCCACACCCACTTGGGTCACAGCCTGCTGCCCCCCCGCGAAGGCGGCCGTAGACACGACGCTGACAGCGCCTGTCGTGTCGCCCTGGCCGTCCAGCTGACCATCAGTCACCTGGACTACGCGGTATGTCACCTGCAGGGGGCGGCAGAGCAACGAGACCGGCGCTGGGGCCTTGGCAGGGGCCAGGTCCGAGCCCCTCCCCGGCCGCCCGCTCGCCCCTCCGGCCTCAGCCCTCCGCCAGCCCGCAGGGCCCCGGCCCGCAGCCTCACCTGTCCTCCATTATTCTCTGTGCGGAACTGGTACTGGATGTTGTGGTCGCCGAACGCCGCCTGCTGGACGCTGGCGATGGCCACCGCCGTCTGCTCCTCCGCCCCAGGGCCGTCCCCGCCTGCGGTCGGCGGAGGGGAGGGGGGCGGTGAGCGCGGGGCGGGCCGGGGCGCCCCCAGCCCCTGCCCGGGCGCCGCCGCCCGCCGCCCCGGCGGGACGCGCGAGCACTCACCTTCCTGCAGCTCGACGCCCTCCTCCGCCTCGGGTCCCTTGTCGTGGCTGCGGGGAGCACGGCGAGAAGCGGGGTCAGGGCCGCCCGCGCCCCCGCCCCTTTGTCCAGGTGCAGCGTCCCCACCTGGCCCGCCGGCCGGGTCGGGGGCGCCGCGGGGGCCGGGGCCGGGGGTGCCGGGCGCGGGTTCCCCCCTCCCTCGCGGCCTCCATTTTGAACTGGGCCCCGCGGCCGCTCGGGATCATGGCGGCCCGGCCGCGGGGCCGAGGGGCCGGGGCGGGGCGCGCGGGGGCGCGGGCCGGCCGGGCGCGCTTACCTGGCGGCGGCAGCAGCGGTGGCCGAGGCAGCGGGATCCAGACCCGGGTCCAGCATGTCCATGGGGGGGGCGGGGGCGGGGGGGGCGCGGGGCCCGGGGGGAGGGGAGGGGAGGGGAGGGAGGGGAGGGGGCGGGCGGCCGGGGGGGCCCCCGAGCCCGGCGCTCACGCCGCGCGGCAGGAGGGGACGGAGGAGACACGGGAGCCGCTCGCGCTGATCACGGGGACAAACAGTGGGGTCATGTGAGGCGGAGATGCCGCCGCCGCTCCTGCCGCCGCGGCTCCTGCCGCCGCCGCCGCCCGCCCGCCCGCCCGTCGGCCGCCGGCGGCTCGGGGCCCCGGGGCGCAGCGCGGCCGCCCCCGCCCGCCGCGCCGGGCCCGCGGGCTCCTTCCCTGGGCCGCCGCGGCCGCCGCGCCGCGCCTCGGACGCGGGCCGCCCTGGAGGGCCGCCGCCGCCGCCCCGGCTCGCTGGCCCGCGCGCCCGCCGCCCGGCCTGGCCCCGTCCGGCGCGGATCGCTGCAGCGGCGCCGCGGCTCGCTATTTTTTCCCCCTTTTTTTCCTCCTTTACTTGAGCTGCGCGCGCGCGGCGGCGGCGGCGCGAGCCCGGGCCGACGCGCGGGGGGGAGGGCGGCCCCCGGGGAGCGCGCGCGCTGGCCGTCTCCGATGGCGGCGGGCGGGCGGGCGCGCGGGCCCGGGGCGCGGCGGGGCGCGAGGTCGCCGCCGCGGCCGCCCGGGCGCCCCGGCCCCCGCCGGCGGCGCGCGCGGGTGGAACGCGGGCCCGGATGGAACGCCGGCGGCCCGGAGGAGGGGCTCTGCGCGCCAGGGCCCCGCCGGGCTTCGGGGTTTGGCGACGGCAAAGTAGGTCGTGGGGGAGGGGCGGGCGGGCGGGGAGCGCGCCTGCGCGCCCCCGGCGGGCGGGCAACCGCGCGCGGAGGCGGAGGCCCGGGGCGCATGCGCACGGCGGGGCGGGGCCGGGGCGCGCACGCAGGGCCGGGCGGGGCCGGCGTGGGGCACGTCCTCGGGCCGCGGGGGAGCGGGCGGCGGGTCCTTCCCTCCCGGCCCGGGACGCGCGTCCCGTCCTGGGAGAGAAGTGGGCGCGCCGCGCCGTCCCTGCAAAGACACCCCGCTCCCCCCCCAAGTCTCCCCCCCACGACCCAGCCGTCCGGGCTCCCGAGCGAGTGCGGCAAAACAAACGCTTCTGGCAGACTCAGGCCTTGTGATTATCAATTTTATTAGACGTAGGGGGGGGAGGTGCTCAGCGTCCCTTCAAATTAAAAAAAGAAAAGTACAAAAGCTACATACAAAACGTGACATCACACGACTAGACTTTCTCGACTCAGGGCCAAGTTCTGCAAGGGAGAAAGACAGGGGGGTCAGCGGGGGGTGTGGGGGGGCGGGAAGGGGAGCATGGGGGGCTGTCGGGGGGGGGGGGGGAGGGGGGGGCGCTGTCCACTCACCTTCTTGAGCCTGCGCTCCCGGGAGGCCTGGGAGTCGGTCTCCGAGTAGGGAGGCGGCGCGGGCGGGTAGTAGGCCTCCTCCTCCTCCGGGTCCTCCTCCTCCCGGTGTGGTCTCCTCCTCTCGGGCGGCCCCTTTTTCCTCAGGGCCTCGTCCACGAGCCGCCCGTCATACTGGGGTTCCCTGGGCCTGTAGCCGTCGTCGCGGGGGTCGCGGGCGCGGGGGTGGTGGGCCCTCGGGTCGGCGTGGGGGCGGTCCCGGGGCCTGAAGTCGTCGTAGCGGGCGTAGTGGGCCTCCCTGCCGCGCGCGTCCCTGGCCTCGTCTTGGTCGTAGAGGTCGTCGCGGCTGCGGCTTCGGGGAGGCGCGTAGGCCCGTCCTCGCCTCCCGCTGCTCGGCGGAGACCTCCCTGATGCCGAGGAGCCCGGCCCCGAGGAGAAGTCATCCAGGGCATCCACGGAGCGCGCCCGGGGCCGCCCCGCTGCCCTGCCGCTCCCCGGCCGCTCCCTGAGGGGCTCCTGGTCCCACCTCCCGGGACTCCGGGGAGAGTGGCGACCCCAATCCTCATCCCGGATTGGGGGGAGGGCAGGGCCCCTGGAAGGCCCGGATCTCCAGTCGTCCTCATGGAGGGAGGTGACTTCACTCATGGCTGTAGAGAAGGGGGGGAGGGTCATTGCTGGGGGTCAGGACTTAATGCCAGGGGCCCCGGGGTTCAGCAGAGTCACCCCTTTCAGTGGACTTGCTAGGGAACCCCAGGCTTCTGACTGTGAAGTGATGACATGCAGGGCCGCCACATCTCTCACTGTGGCCTTGGCTGGGGTAGCAAGCATCCCTGGGGTGGCTCTCAGGACACATGCTTCCTTCTCCCCGCCTCTCCCAGGTCTTAGCCTGCTGCTCACCCCGCTCTACGCGTCCATTGGGGGGGCCGTGCCGAGACGGGTCAAAGTTGGCCAGCTCCTTCTCCATGTAGTACAGGACCCGCATGGAGTCGTCCTGCTGGCTGGCCTGGATCCTGTAGCCGCTGCGGACTTCTAGGGACAGGAGATGGAGGTCATCCGTTTGGGAGGACAGGCTGGCCCAGCCTCCCCTAGAGGCATGCACAGCCCCTAACATCTCACTTCTCACCAGAGTTCACGCTGCTGTCCGTATCACGAATCAGAGGCACCTGGGAGCTGTGGCCGCCCACTGGGGGAGATGGATGGGCTGTGAGTGGCTGCCCACCTGCAGCAAAGCCCCACATTCCCAGCCCCAGGCCCCCCTGATGTCCAGCCTACCCTAGTTCCAGCTGCTCCCCCAGGCCTCACCTGAGCTATTCCTGTCGAAGTCTCCAGGGTACCTGCTTTTGAATGGGTCCATGGGAATCAGGGATGGTGGGGGTGGGGTCTTGGAAGGAGACACGAAGCCATAAACGTTGGGATTGTAGATGCTTCCGCCTTCTGTGACTGCTTTGCCGGCCATATACACTGGGGGGCACACACACACACACACAGAGCATGAGGAGGCGCCCCAGAGTCTGCTGCCTGGCACCTCCCCATAGACGATCTTGAGGGATCTGTCCTGGGGCATCCCAACCCCAGCCGTCGCACTCCCTGGACACTCTGTTAGTTTCTATAGGGCCCCTGAGGCCAGGGGACATGAGCTTCATGGAGTCCATACCTGTGCAGTTCCTCACAGAGGCTTTAAGACGGGGGTACCCACCGGCAGCCCATGGCCCTGATATGGCAGGCCAATAGGTCCACTAAGACTGAATGATGGTTTCCCAACATTGGATAAGGGTTTACACAGACTCGCACTCTCTCTGGCCATTCTGCGCCTGCACTCTTACAGAGCAACAGGGGGGAGGTGGGCCGTTAGATTAAGGCCCTGTGCCGAACCCCGGCTGAAATCTGTTGCCTTTAGCAGTTGAGCCCCTACTGCAGAAGCAATCACAGGGGAGGAGGGAGCCCATGCCCCACTCCCCTCTCATGCCCGCTGAGTCCTTCCCATGGAGTTTTCCAGACCTGGACGCCATGGGAATCAGTCTGAGGCAGGAGCCCAATAGCCAAGTCTCCTCTAGTGTTTCCAACTTGGGCGCCCCTCCCGTCCTGTCCCAGGCCCTGGGACTTGGCTTCAAGGGCAGCTGCCACAGCCCAGCCTCTGGCCTGGGGATGAGGGCAGCAGGAGGATTTACCCTTGAGCTGTCAAGTCCAGGACCAGGGCAAGTTGAGTCTTCCCTGGGATTGGCTGGCCCGGGGAAACAGCGGGGTTCAGAGAGCTCCCTTCTGCTGCTTCAGCATAATGAACAGAAGGCTCGGTGCTTAGCACTCCGGGAGAAACCCCTCTAGCTCAGGGGATCAGGTGTTTCGTGACTCCCCTGGGAGCTGCTGCACCAGGACACCCAGCAGGGAGTTTTGGGGCCTCTGTTTGTGGAAAACAGGGTCTCGGGATGGAGGCAATGTGGCCTTGGGAGGGGCACTGCATGCCTGGCTCCAGCCTCATTTAGTGGGGTAACTGCAACTTGCTTGCAGCCCTGGGGCTTCCCTCCCCACCTGTGAAAGGCACGAACTCCAGTGTCTGAGCAGATGCCACCAACTAAAAATGGCGAGTGGGACAGGCGGTAGCGGAAGTCTCCAGAGAGCAGTGGAAGTTCTGCAGTGGAGCAATACTTTGAGAAACCCACTGACTGACTTCAGTGACCATAAAATTAGTCAGCACGGGTGACCTCGTACTGGGCACGCACACGCCCATCTTCCCCTAATGCTCATGACGCCCCAGGAGGGCAGGGCCTTGCAGAGAAGGAAGAGTCTAGAAGAGGGAGCCGAGGCTATCTGAGGTCACATGGCGCGGGTGGCGGTCACCACCGACGCCAACAGCAGACTCTAGCAGCGAGCAGGCAGCAAGCTTGTCACATGGGCTGAGCCCTGCATGGAGCTGCTGTACACCCCAGTTCACAGGACCCCCAAACTGTCTACAGTCTGCCTCTCTACAGTCTCTCTACAGTCTGCCTCAGTCTGTTTTAGAGAAGAGGAAACTGAGGCTAAGGGGACTCTCTCTGGGCTTTCAAGCAGATAAGGGGTCAAGCCAGCTTCGAACTTCTGCCAGCCCATGAAATGAGTGTCAGAGAAGGGGCAGAACCAGCTGCTCAAATCCCCAACCCGTGATTTCACTGTTTGGCAGCATGGACCCTGCAGAGGTGCCAGGAAAGCAAACATATGCAGGAGACCAGGGGATCCCCCTCGCACTATTGTCCCCCTGAGGACAGAAAGGGGACAGCGGGAGGAGGAAGACCTCCTTTCACTTTCTCTTTCCCTGCTCGTTTTGTTCCTTGGGTGCTGGCCCCTTTCCATTCCCGACTGTCCTGACATTACCGCCCTGACGTACCCTATGGCGTGTGTGTGGGGTGTGGGCTTCGAACCTGTGCTTAAATGATAGGTTTCTTACCTTTTTCACTGAATATTTTGTCGTTTTATTTAAAGGAAGCTGGACTTTCCAGGGAGTAGTGTTCTGTCCCATTTGATGTTTTTTTTAACCAACTGGGTGGATTATATTTTCAAAAGAAAAAACTCCAAATAAATGCAAGTTGAAAATCAACGGAGGCTGAAGGATGTAAGTGATCACCTGAACGAGCAAGTCTTCCCTGGCTCACTTCCTCCCAAGTGGCTCACCTCACAGCCTCTGACCAGCCAGCGGCCCCATCCTGGGGGGCAGCTACACGGCTGCCCCCACCACCACCCCGGGACCAGGCGTGGCTAAATGGGGACAGTCAGAAAGGGGCACTTACGGGCCTCTGGGCAGCAGCACTTGTCAGGACAGCAGGGACACCTGACGTAGCAGCAGCAGGTGTGGGGGCAGCACTGGCACCAACAGATGCCCAGGAGGAGGAAGACAAGGAGGACACCCAGGCTGACCATGACCACGAACAGCCAGTCTGCGGAGAGAGAACAGGCTGTGAGCAGAAGGCCTGGGAGAGAGCGGGGACACTGGCAGGGGATTTGGGGTGGGGGTGGGGTTGCAAAGCTGTTTACAAACTCAGGGGGAAGCTGTAGCCCTTGCTGGATTCTCATGCCAGAGGCTGGGCACAGCACAGCAGAGGGACACCTGCCTCTGTGTAGCCCAGGCCATCCCAAAGTTAGGGAACTCATTGGACAAGGTAAGAAATGAGGGGTGACCTGATCAGAGCAAGACAGGCTAAGCCTCAGAAGGGACAGAACCAGCTGCCCAGATCCCCACCCCCAGAAGAGCACTGCAGGCACCAGTCACAGGGGCCCCCTGCCTACACCCCAGGCCCACCCAACCGCCTAGGTCACTACACGCCACAGAGTGGGCATCAGCCGGGGTTAGTGGGGGCCACAGCACGCGGTCTTTAGGGCAGGAGGGAATACTTAGAAGCAGTAAGTGATGTATGGGGGACTCCACCCCCGTACCTTCCAAAGGCCCCGCCTGAAAACCAGGTAAGAGCTCAGCCACCCCCGAGGTCCTGCCTGGAGGGACAAAAGAGAGACAGATTATGCTGGCCAGGGCCAGCCCCGGGGCCCCCTGCTCTGAAGGCCAGGGCCAGGCTGCTCAGGGTGAAGGTGTGTCGGAAGCAGGAAGGGCTGATGTCAGGAGGTACTAGCCTGTGGTTCTTGCGCTCCACCTCCTTCCCCAGGGGGGTGCTGCTTTCCAGAAGGTTCCATCCCATAATTCACTCACTCTCTCACACCACAGGCACTCTGCTGCTCTAAAGGATCCCATGAGATTCTGGATTTTGACCTCAGCTTGGGCATTCCATCTCCTCCAGACAGATCCTGAAGGCTCCTGGCCCAGGTGATGGGGACAGACAGCTCTCTTAGGCTCATGTAATTTTTTTTAAAACCTAAAGAAAGGGCCTCCCTGGTGGCACAGGGCTTAAAAAGTGCTATCAAGCTACTGCCAGCCCCTACAGCACCAGTTCGATCCCTGGCATCAGCCGACCAGGGAGCAACCCACATGGCGCAGCAGACCTCTCCTGTCTCGCCCGCTGCTCCCCTCAGCAGTGGATTTCAGTCAGTCTGCCTGTTCTGTTCCCCACTCTGTCTCTGGTGAATCCTCTCCCCCCCACCCCCACCTCTAGCTTACACCCCAGTTCTTGTATGCATAAATAAATTTTTTTAAATAAACCCAAAGAAAAAATATACTACTAAATGTCTAATAGTGAACTGTCTTCACACCAGTGCAATCCTAAAATATGTTCTTCTTTTTAATATGAAGAGGCCCACGAAGGCAAAAGTGTTTCTACCTCCTAGAAGTCAGTGTGGTGCTAGCTCTGTGACCCCAAGGTTTCCTGGAGGTGGCTTCTTATAAGTCCAGCTTGTGACTTCCCTCAGGGGCTCTGAGCCCTTCACCCATCCCCAAAGTGGGGTTTGCATCTAAGCCACAGGTGCTCTAAGTGTGATCCTGTCCACGAGGCCCACCCTACTTTCATGCAAACATGATGCCACTATTTGCCTTTTTCACTTTCCTTTCTCACTGGGTATGAATGGAGCTTCCTGAGGCCCTGGGAAGTGTGAGGACATCCTGCATGTGTGCTGGTGAACTCGTGCCTGAACGGCTTCCAGTGTCAATTTCTAATACGTTCAGCAACTCTGAACAGAACCCACAAAAACCCTGAGATCCTCTGTAATTGTTAAGCAGATAAGCATGACCTGATCCTGCCGATGCAGACCACATGGCCGCAGAGGTGCTGCGCCCGTGTGCACGCGCCCATGTGCACAAGCCCGGACTGCACCCGGGGTCTGAGCACCCCTGCTGCTGGCCTGTCACAGATCTTCCCTCACACATGTGTTTCCTTGCATCATGCATGTGATGATAGCAATGGATGTACGGCACGCGCAGCGCGGAACCATGTGTGCTGGTGAGCAGAGCATCTGGCTAATGGCCAAGGGCAGCTTCCCACCCATTCCACCGGGGCCTGCTGGACACCCCACCCGGCCCCAGGGCTTGTTCAAGGAAGCGCCCATGCAGCACCATCTTTACAGCGCAGAGGAGTCCCTGTGCCTTGGCAAGGGACTCTGGGTGAGATGTAGCAGAAGGGGGTTCAGTCTCCTCTTGATCATGCACACAAACACCCTCCTCACTCACTGCCCATCAGCCCTGGCCATTCTGTGTTTGAAAACAACCAGGCAGGGAAGAAGAGAGGCTCCAGCTCACCCCACTCTTAGCTTGACTCTGGCTTATTTGAAATGTTTCCGGAGAGGGGTTCCCGCCTGGGGCGTGGGGCACAGATAAACCCAAGTGACTGGCGGTGCCGTGAGGCGAAAGCAAAGCAGGCGACAGACCAGAGAGCGAGCTGGAGGCCGAGGGCAGGCGCTAGAAGGTCCCAAGTGCTCAGCCCAGCCACTCACCCAGGACGATGAGCTCCGCGTAGGCCTCATTGTTCCCCTGCAGGTCCTGGGCCGAGACCACGGAGCAGTAGTACACACCACTGTCCCCCCAAGCTGTCTGGTCAAAGGTCAGGTCAGCATCTGTGTCGGAAAGAGAAGTATGAGTGCATCTGGGGGAGGGGGCATCTGGGGGAGAAGGTGTGACCCCAGCAGGCAGGGCTGCTCCCACAGAGGGGCGCAGGCTGCAGAGGATCAAACAGAAATTAGATCATTTGTACCATGTGGGCTTTTAGGCTTGGTTCTAAACTCCAACCGGGGATTTCAAGAGGTCTGTGAGGTGGGTGCTGTTCTCTTTCCTGTTTGGAAATGGGATTACTTAAAGCCCAAAGGAATCTGCAGGCTGGGATGGCCTGACCCCTCAGCCAGTGCTTCAGACTCACAACCATCCTCTTCCATCTGGCCAAGCAAAAAGCTAACACTCCCCCACTTCCCCCCCCCCTCAATAGGCAGCACCAAGGAGCCGCCTCAGACGGGGGCACAGGGCCAGGTTCAGAGATAAATAGGTCAGATTCCAGGAATCAGGAGCCACCCAGGCATGAGAAAGAGTAGGTGTGAGAGAAAGAGTTAGCCCATCCACCAGCCGCAGCCCCCACATTCCAGGTCAGGCCCAGGGCTTGGGGACGCTCCCTTCTGAAGCAGCCTCGGGCGAGGAGCCTGTTAATTATGTCAGTAATGAAAGTCTTTCAGCACATCCGGTCTCCTCTCTACTCCTGGGGCCCTCATTAGTTAAATCCCTTAATCAACTCGGACAGGGTGGGACCCACTGGTAACCCTGCCAGAGGCCCAGCGGAACAAGAGAGAGGAACAGGTCAGAGATGAGGGGGTACAGCACCCCACTGACCTGCCGACCACCTTGCCCAGGTACCCACACCCCTTCTGTGTGACAGCTCAGGGCGGGAACTGACTGTGTGCCCAGTCTGCAGCACCTGGCAACACTGGCATCTTCAGTCTAGACCCCTGGCACACTGAAGGAATCAAAGAACCTTCTTTGGAGGGAAGAACTCACTCCATTCCAAACGCCTGACGAGGCCCACAAGGCATTTGGCATTGGGTGCAGGTTTCATCCCACCCTTTGCCTTCCCCAGCCAGACATGCCCGCCAGGTCCCCACCCGCCTTGGCTCGCACTCTGCCTGGCACAGTACTCTTGGCCCCTTGCGGTGCTGGTTCACCTGCTCAGGTGCTAATGTCTACCAGCCAGCTAGAGGCTGATGGCCGACCCCCATGGGCTCTGTGCAAGCAGAACCCGGCCTGTCTTGGCCAGAACCTGCTGAGTCCCCAGGCCTGACCCAGGGCTTCGCCAGGACCTGGAAACATACCCTTTCCCTGCTCAGGCTGACCTCCCTTGGCTTCCGCCGTCTGTCCCAGCCTCCTGGGGATGTGGGGACATTCAAGCAGGCACTCGAGTGAGCCCTTCCATATTCAACAAGCAATTATTGGAGGCAGCTTGCCATCCCGGTAGAAGCTGGGGCAGCTGGAGAGCAAGAGTTCTCAGTGTGATCTGTAACCTTGGACTACCTGGAGATCTTTCCAGGAGATCCCTGATGTCAAAGCTGTTTTCATAATACTACTAAAATGCTACTTGCCTTTTTCCCTTAACCGTTCATGAGTGCCCTGTGGCGGCCCCCAAGCTGCGTGACACAGTGCTATCACTGAACAAAAGTAGCTTTGAAAACCCAGCTGCTTTGTTCAGCCAGACTTCAGGGAGGCTTGCAAAAATACAAAGCGGGGGCCTCCCTGTTGGCACAAGAGGTTAAGACACAACCTATGAAGCTATCAGCAGCCACTGCAACACAAGTTCAATCCCCACCCAGGGAGCTACCCACATGGTGCAGCAGACCTCTTCTGACTCGCCCGCTGCTCCCCTCAGCAGTGTATTTCAGTCGATCTGCCTGTTCTGTTCCCCACTCTGTCTCTGGTGAATCCTTTCACCTCCCCCACACCTCTGGCCTGTACTACAGTTCTTGTATGCATAAATAAATAAATCTTTTAATTAAAAAAATATAAAAAGTGATGCCACGCTTTACATTCAAGTGTTCTATCTCGAACACCATGGTTACTTTTTGGTAAAAATTAGGTTACTTATGGTAACTTAAGATGATGTCTGTTGTTTTCGTCCTATTTTTTGAACTTCTCCCATCTTGCTAGCTATTAAAAACAAAAGTCCTTTGAGGACCTTCGTAATCAAGGGCATGAAAGGAGTATAATGTGCCCTGAACACATCTGAGGACCACCACTTTGAGAGCAGATACAAATCCCTGGCCTCACAGGGCTGAGTCCAACTGCGAAAGAGACAAATACAAAATTCAAATATATGGCGTGTCAGATGGTGATAAGGCGTCCTTGTGGAGGTGGGGTTGTCCAAGTTTAAGTGGCCAGGGAAGGACTCTGGGGAAGGTGACCTTCGGAGCAGGAGCGGCGGACACGGTTGTGCACTTGGCCCCCAATGGTCAAGCCCTTCCTCCGTGCTGGGTCCCTTTGCATATATCTGTTCACTGAATCCTCATCAAAATATACCCAGCCTTCTCCTACACCCTCTAGATTCTCCTTAAGACTCTCTCAGGCCCTCATTTTTCTGTCTGTAACTTTAGAGCCTGCTCAAGTCTCTCCAGAGCTCACAGCAGGTTCCAGGCCATCACTGAGGAACGGACGGAACCACCTACCACGGTCCAGGTTCACAGCCAAGAGCTGAAATCTGGGCTCCCGTGGCTGGATGGGGCCTCTGTGCGTTTTGTTTGGCCTGCATGATGTTTTCTAAGCCCATGAAAAATAGGACTTTCCGGCTTCTTTGATCACTTCTGAGGCCCAGGCCCACCCCCTTCCTGCGGGGCGCGCCCTGTTCCCGCTCTGCCACTGGTCCCACTTTGGTGCCCTGCGCTGCTTCACTTGTTCCAGGTGCTGGGGTTCCAGTGGGGGACAGACTGCACCTCCTCCACATCATGGGGCCTCTGCTTCCTTATCTGCACACAGCAGGGGTGGGCCTCATGCTTTCAGGGGTCCCAGGGGCACTCTGCTCCTGTGGGGGGCACATGGGCACCCAGTGGCCTGAGGGGGCAGAAACACCACTCCTGCCCAGGTGGCCCCCACAACTGGGGAGAGTGGGAGGGGGGCGCGGCACCCCCCGCTGAGGGTCACTGTGCTGAACAACTGGCTTGCCCGGGACTGCTCTCACTTTTCAAACCCGGCAGCTGGTGAGGATAAGGACCCCTGTGGGAGGTCCCACCTTTCTCCATCCTCAAAGCTGAAACAGAGGAAACTCCCATGGCGACTGGGCTTCCTGAGAGGACATGCACACAATGGAGGTTTACAAACCATGGCCTCTGTCAAATAGGGGCCCAGCTTGAAAGACTCAGGCCCTTGAGGCCTCTGGAGCCTGAAGCATCTGCCACATGAGAGCTGAGGGTCATGCTGGAGCTCTGGACTCAGCAGAGCAGACACAATTCCAGTCCCTGGGCCATCCCAAAAGGGCCACTGGGTGGGCATGCCACGTCCAGGCTGGAGGGGTTCCCTGGGGAGCAGGCCTGTACAGGCTGAGCCCCCAAGAAGTCCTCCGACTTCCAGAACAGCAGAATGCTTCAGGCCAAGCTGCCCGTGGAAATTTAGGGCAAGTAGATCTGGTCCCTCCCGGAACAGGACTGACAGGCTGGGTCCCTGGAAGGCTGCCTTCTGTCTGAGGTGCAGACAGAGAGGGGGCATGGAGATGCCCCATCGTCTGATGTCTTGGGGGTCTACAGAGGGAACTTCCCTTCCCCCCTCTGCCCCCACACACAACATTAAAGCTCTAAGCCCTGTTCAAGACAGTGAAAGGATAAATCCATTCAGTGGGTGACCCTTCACCCTCACCCACTGTCATCCATCATCTTCCTCTCTGACTTTAGGTTCTAGGAGCCCCAATCCTGGTTTCTCCCCAAATCACACTCATAGAGGTCTTAAGATGTGAGCACTCCAACTGGGCCTGTCTTCTTTGCAGCACTGACTCATTCTCTGAAATTCCCTCGCTCTTTATCTTATAGTTATCCGCTTGTTTACTGCCTATCTCTCCCCACTAGAATGTCATCTCCTTGAGGCCAGGGACCTCAGTTGTCCTGGTCACCACTGTCACCCCACACCCACTGGCACTCAGTAGCTGCTGAGTAAATACCGGGTAGAGGGGCCTCCCTGGTAGCACAAGGGGTAAAGTCTCAGCACTATGAAGCTGTCTGCAGCCACTGCAGTGAGTTCAATCCCCAGCCAGGGAGCTGACCCACATGGCGCAGCAGATCTCTTCTGACTCACCGGCTGCTCCCCTCAGCAGTATATTTCAGTCATTCTGCTTGTTCTGCTCCCCACTCTGTCTCTGGTGAATCCTCTCACCCCCCAACACCTTTGGCCTACACCCCAGCTCTTGTATGCATAAATAATAAAATAAATCTTAAAAATAACTAAATAGGGCCTCCCCAGTGGTGCAGCGGTTGAGCGCTGGGCTGCCCGCAGCCTCTGCTGCGCCAGTTCGATCCCCAGCCGCCAGCGAGGGTCCCACATGGCACGGCAGACCTCTCCTGTCACACCCACTGCCCCCCTCAGCCGTGTACTTCGTCAGTCCGCCTGTTCTGCTCCCAGCTCTGGCTCTGGTGAATTCTCTTACCCTCCCGCGCTTCTGACTATACCCAGTGCTTGTGTAAATAAATAAATAAATAAATCTTTAAAAATAAACAAATAAATACTGGGTACTGGGTAGAATGAATGAATGCCTTCCCCACCGCCCCTTACCTAGTCCCAACAGGCACTTCCCATGGGCAGGCAGTATCAGGTAAAGGACGAGGGCTCTGTCTATATCTTTAAATTAGACTCTGCCCAGGCAGCTCCCAAACCAGAGCTCACAGCAGGTTCTAGGAGCCTGGGCTCAAATCCCAGCCCCGGCTCTTTCCTAGCTATGCATCTCTGTGCTCCTCCACCTCTCTGTGCCTTGCTGTTAGGAGAGTAAAATGCAGTTGTGAGGATCCAATGGGAGACCATGCGAAAGCACCTGGCAAGTCATGGGCTTTCCCCGTTAAATCTCCCACTGTCACCTCCTCCTGAGTGTTTTGCTTACTACGCAGCACAAGCAAAGGGGTCTAGCCCGGCACTGAGAGGCTAGATCCAAAGTGGCTGATTCAGAGACCCAGTTCTATTACCAGCTGTGTGACCCTGTGCAAGTCACTTGACCTTTCTGGGCCTGAGTCAAGTGCCTACTTGAATACAGCCTCTGTAAAATAACAATAATGGAATCTACTCACATAATTACTATGTGGCCTGCATGAGTTAATACATGTAAACTTGGATTAAAGCCTGGCACACAGGAGGCTTTTGATAAGTTGTTACTTCTATAAATGTTACTAATTATTGCTATCATTATTAGTATCATTATAGAACCCCTGCCTCTCTCTCCATTGTCTTCAAAAGCTCACAGGGTGTCTCCCTCAGTGGAATATGAGTTCCGTGAAGGAAGGAAGCTGACGCTCTTCATTTGCTGCGTATTTCTAGGGCTTCAGACAGGGGCTGGAGTGTTAGCTGCACCATGAATCTTTGTTAACTAAAGGAATGGTAGGGCCTCCCAGTGGCGCAGGGGATTAAGATGCAACCTACGAAGCTATCCGCAGCCATTGCAGCACGAGTTCAATCCCCGGCCAGGGAGCTACCCACATGGAGCAGCAGACCTCTCCTGTCTCGCCCGCTGCTCCCCTCAGCAGTGTATTTCAGTCAGTCTGCCTGTTCTGCTCCCCACTGTGTCTCTGGTGAATCCTCTCACCCTCCCGCACATCTGGCCTGCACCCCAGTTCTTGTATAAATAAATCTTTAAAAAAAAAAAAAAAAGGAATGATAGAAAGAAGGATGGAGCCCTCCTTTCAGACTCTTGCAGACAAACTTCCAGGCAGGGGGGTCTCCAGGGCAGCCCACGGAAGCCAGCACCACCACCCAGGCCAGTCCACCCCTGGAGCCCTGCACCACCCAACATACTTCCTGTGATGGTGATCCTCCGGCCCTGATAGTACTCTCCCAGGGTCACAGCATTGCCCTGCTTGGTGGCCACCACCCTGACGGTGCGTGAGCCGTCCTGGCACTCCACGTAGGGGTTGTAGCCCGGGTTACCAGCCGCCAGCTGGGCATTGAGCTGGTTCTCCGCGCTGGCTGGGGAGAAGGCATCAGCGATGCGGTCCCGGCAGAAAGACTTGTACTTCCAGATCACGATGGGCGGCGTGGGGGTCGTGGTCAGTTGGTAGGTGCAGGGCAGGGTGACAGGCTGGAATAGGATCACCACGTGGTAGGGGTCTGACACGGTCACCTGGACAGCGCTGGCAGGGGCTGTGGGCAAAAGCACAGTCGCAGGGACCACGTAAGCTCAGGGTAGGGCTTGGACAGAAAGGAGCAACATCACCTGTCACTGGCAGGGCACAAGTGTCTGGGTTTACAGAGCTCCTGGCACACATTGTTCCTTAATCCCCAGGATGGGCGAGGTAGCCCGGATAATCTGCTATTTTATAGACCCATGGGGCTGAAGTGGCAGGTGCAAGGTCACACTGCCGGCTCCTCTGGAACACCCTTTGGGTCCCTCTTCCCAAAGGGTGGCCTCTGAAGCTGACTGCCCTCCTTTCCCTGTGCCATTCTCTCAGGGATAGGGGTTCTCTCCGCCGCCTGCACATGGCCACCACAATGCCCCCATACTCCAAGCCGCAAGAACCACCACCAAGAGTTCCAAGTGAACTTGGGGTGAATATCTTGGCGTTTAACTGAACTGACTTAGCACGGAGTAACTAACCCCCACAATATCTCCATTAGCGCCCCCACCTCATCCTACCCAGCAGAGTCATCTCCAACAAACACACCAAAAATGCCGGCGGCGGAAATTTAAAGTCCACCCCACCCCCAACCCAACAGACGTTCGATCCGGGTGCAAGTTGGCCATTACAAGACGGTTGCAAGTTCCTAAGTCCATCCCACCAGACCCTCAGCACAGATACTTCCGAGCCCACCAGAAGCGGCCGAGGTTGGTTCTGGGGTGCGGGTGGGAAGCCCCCAATCCCGCACCCACCCAGGCCCGCGCGCCGTTCCGGGAGCTCTTCCTGCAGGAAGCGTCCGATCCATCTCTCCGGCGCCTTCTCCCGTTACCCCGAGCCTTAGAGATCTCGGGGGCACCCCCTACCCCCATCCCAGCCTTCCCCGAGGATCGGTCGTCCCTCACCCCTGCGGCACAAAGAGTCTCGCTCTCCGGAGGCTCCAAGATTCGCGGTCCCGGGAGTTTCACTTCCTGCCGTCTCCAGGGCGGGCGGGGGCGCGCTCCCAGACGCGGGTGGGGAATATCCCCAACTCTGGCACCGGGGGGGTCTCCCGAGACCCTGGGATCCCGAGACTGTTGTCTCCGAGCTCCCCGACCCCCAGCTCTCCCGCCAATCCGGCGGCGTCGCGCTCCCTCCATCCCCTTCTTTGGTGCCCTCCCGCCGCTCCCGTGCGCCCGGCCCCGCGAGCCGTACCTGTGCACAAGGTGCCGAGAAACAGCCACAGCACGACGACCGCGCCGCGAGCAGGGGTGGCCGGGCAGGCGCCTGGCCCCCGATGGAGCCCGCGGGCCACCGGCGCCATCGAGGCCGACTGGGCGCCCTCGGCTCGCGCGTCCCCTCCCAGGTGCCGGGAGAGCAGGGGGCGCGGCGCGCACCAAGCCCGGGAGGGGTGCATGCTCCTCCCCTTCCCGCTCCCTTTCCTTGACCCTATTCCCAGCCCACCCTGCCCTGCTTTAGGGTTTCAATGAGGAGAAATAACGCTGATGAGGTGCACGCGTCCAGCTTGGGCGAAGAAACTTGCGTGGCCCACTGCGGCTCCGCCAGGCACCCCTACCCCCGCGCGCTCTGGGGAATGGATCTGCCCAGGTGCACTGGGTGAGAACCCGGGGCCCGGCCCGGGGTGGGCGGCGGGGCCGGGCTCCTCCTGCGCCCTCCCCGGAAGTGGGCAGACCCAGGTGCGCCCCGGCCCCGAGGGTTGGAACCAAGTGACCGCCGCGGGGAGGGCGCAGCAGACCCGGGATCCCGTCCCGCCCGCTCCTGCTCGGCCCTCGCCGGCCCGAGCGTGACTCACAAGAACTAGACGCGACTGGGATGAGTCACCTGGTGAGGGGGGCGGGCCCCGCCGCGCACCTGTTCCCTCCCTGCCCACACCCCTCACCCCGCGGTCGATGGACCGGCCTGGGTACACCCTGCGGGGAGGGGCGAGGCTGAGCGCGCCTGGCGCTGGAGAGGTTCGTTGGTGGCGCCTGACCTTTCCACTAGGCTGGGGTTGCCGCGGTCCCGGTGGGCCGTGGTGCCCGCGGGCCTCTGGTGCCTTCAGCGCAGATGACCTGACGACCCGAGCGAAGGCCCTGGAAGGGAGGCTCTGCCCCCCTGGGGACGCCCGAGCAGGGTCAGGCCCTGGAAAAGTTGGGATTCTCCTTCCCAAGTTTCCTCGGCCTTCCCATTCCCGACTTGTGGTGTGGCCTCCAGGCATCCCTGGCCCCCAGGTCCGGCCTAGGGGAACTCTGGCTCGTAAAGGGACCGAAGTGTGGGGTGCAAGGCATGGGACCCCTTTCAGCCTAAGAATTCCCCTAGACCCGGCCACCTGCGGCACCGGGCGGGCGGAGCCGGGCGGGCGGGACGCGGTGGCTCTGCGTGGCTCTGCTGCCCCTCGATGGCGGCCTCGGGAAGCGCGTCCTGGGTAACCCTGGGCCCCTCCGGGAGTCACAAACTGACCGCGGTCTGGTGGGTCCTGTACCCTGGGCTGTTTTATTCGGCCACAAGTCGATTTACCTTCTTGGGACACCGCTTTCCAGGCAGAAACCAGTGGCTTGATCCCTCTCCAACCTGAAATCCCTGCTCACTGGTTCACTCAGTGTCAGCCACGCTGGCCCTCCTCGGTGTTCTGGAACTTACCCATCATCACACTCCCACTTCAGGCTCATTGCCTCTGCCACTCCCTCTGCCAGCAGATGGCAACGTGATCGCTCACCTTCTTTAGGGCTTTGTGTACAGGTCACCTTTGCATCGATACCTTCCCTGGCCACTTTTTGTAAAATGTCAACCCTTTCATGCGCCTCTCCATACAGGTCCCTCCCCTTTTTCAAAATATTTTCATTGTGATAAAATGTACATGCCATCGTATTTATCATTTTGGTGATCCACGAGGTTGTGTACTTCTCATCACTACTTTTTTTACATCATCCCTAATATATAAAATCTACCAATTAAACAATAATTCCTCATTCCCATCTGCCCAGCCCTGGTATCAAATTTCCTATTCTCTATGCCGCGTCTAAGTGGAATCATATAATATTTGTCGTTATGTGTCTAGTTTATCATTAAGTACGTTTTCAAGGTCCATCCACGTGGTAGTAAAGCTCACAATCGAAATTTTGTTCCTTTTTCATAGCTGAATAGTATTTCATTGTTACAGATAAACCGCATTTCGTCTGTTTATCTGTTGTTGGACATTTGGGTTGTTTTCACCTTTCGGTTATTATAATTTTTTTTAAAGAGACATGTATTATTTATTTGTTTGTTTGTTTGTTTGTTTGTTTGTTTGTTTGTTTGTTTATACAAGCACTGGGTACAGTCAGAAGCGCGGGAGGGTGAGAGAATTCACCAGAGCCAGAGCGGGGAGCAGAGCAGGCAGAAGGACCGAGGTACACTGCTGAGGGGAGCAGCGGGCGGCAGGAGAGGTCTGCGCGCCATGTGGGACCCTCCTCCGGTGGCCGGGGAGCAGCCGGGGATCAAACCTGCGCCTCAGAGGCGGCGGGCAGCTTCGCAACCCAGCGCTCAACCGCTGCGCCACCGGGGAGGCCCTGGTTATTGTAAATAACACTATTGTGAACATCAGTATACAGATATCTGCTTCCAATTCTTTTGATATATACCTTGGAGTGAAATTATTAGGACCTATGGTAGTTTTCTATTTAATCCTGAGGAACTGCCAATCTGTTTTCTACTGCACCTTTGACATTCCCTTCAGCAATGTCCATGGGTTCTAATCCCCACATTTTCACTCACACCTGTTATTTTCTGTATTCTTGATTACAGCCATCCTAGTTGGTGTGAAGTAACATCTCATCATAGTTTTCATTTTTATTTCCCTGAGACCTAGTGATGTTGAACACTCTTCATGCCCTTATAGTTCATCTGCATATCTCCTGCGGAGAAAAGTCTCTTCAAATTTTTACCTGTTTTTGAACTGGGTTGTGTTTGTTTTGGTTTGTGGGGTTTTTTTTTGTTATTGTTGAGTACATACTTTTTATATTTTGAATATTAATCCCTTGTTAGATATATATTTTGCAAATATTTTTCTCATTCAGTGGTTTGTTTTTTCACTTCCTTGATTGTGTCCTTTGATGCACAGAGTTTCTTGGTAGAGTTTCATTTATCTATTTATCTATTTATTTATTCATTTATCTATTTTTGTTGTTCTTGAGTGTGCTTTGTTATATCCCTGAAATCACTGCCAGATCTAGACACCTGAAGATTTTCCCCATTATTTTCTTTCAAGAGTTTTATTTTTTTAGCTCTTATTAAGTTAGGTCTTTGATCAATTGCGAGGGGTTTTTTTTGTATATGGCATGAGATAAAGGGTCCAGCTTCGTTCTGTTAATGTGGTGTATTACTTTGATTTTCTTAGGTTGAACTACCCCTATATACTGAATAAAGCCCACTTGATCATGCTAAATAGTCCTTTTTTATAAGCTGTGAAGCTTGGATTTCTTTGCTAATATTTTCATGAGAATGTACCTATATTTATAAGGGGTATTAGTCTGTGTTTTTCTTTTCTTGTGATGTCTTTATCTGACTTTGGTGTCAGGGTAATGCTGACTGTGTGGAATGAATAGGAAATATTTCTCCTCTTCAACTTTTTGGAAGAGCTTGGGAGGATTGATGTTACTGTCCTTTAAATGTGTGGTTGAGGGCCTCCCCTGGTGGCGCAGGCAGTTGAGCGCTGGACTGCAAAGCTGCCCGAAGCCTTTGCAGCACCAGTTCGATGCCTGGCCACCAGCAAGGATCCCACATGGCGCAACAGACCTCTCCTGCCGTGCCCGCTGCTCCCCTCAGCAGTGTATTTCGTCGGTCTGCCTGTTCTGTTCCCTGCTCTGGCTCTGGTGAATTCTCTCACCGTCCTGCTCTCTGACTGTACCCAGTACTTGCATAAATAAATAAATAAATCTTTAAAAAAAAAATAAATAAATGTGTGGTTGAACTAATCTATGAAACCATTGCTTCCAGGAGTTTTCATTGCTGGGAGGGTTTTAATTACTCATTCAATCTCTTGTTATGGAACCTCTATGGAGGTTCCTTATTTCTTCTTGAATTGGTTTACGTAAGCATATGTTTTAAGGAGTTTGTTCATTTTATTTATTTTTTAAAATATTTATTTATTTATTTATTTATTTATGCATACAAGAACTGGGGTACAGGCCAGAGGTGTGGGGGGGGTGAGAGGATTCATCAGAGACAGAGAGGGGAACAGCACAGGCAGACTGACTGAAATACACTGCTGAGGGGAGCAGCAGGAGAGACAGGAGAGGTCTGCTGCGCCATGTGGGTAGCTCCCTGGCTGGGAATGGAACTCAGTCCACAGCAGTGGTAATAGTGTGATGACAGGGCAACTTAACCCCTATGCCACCAGGGAGAACCCTATTAATATATTGTTAACCAAAGCTAACAATTAAGTGGCTACCCCTCTCCCTGGTCCCAACTAATGGGGTACAAACAGAAAATTGTGACATGGCTGGTCAGGACCTGTAAAGAAACTGCCCAGGAAAAAATTGCAATCTTTGTGAAAAGAAGTGTTTGGAAATTGCCTCCTCCAGAAAAATCAGAAGCTTCAGTAAATGTCCACTCTGAGAGATGTGATGTTGCTAAAACTCCCTGTTCCCAAAAGATTAGGCTCTGAACAGTAAATTGGAACAACCCTCCTTATTGTCCCCAATGCATGAACAATGTCAAGTAGATACAGTAATCAGAAATCTGCACACACTTTCTCTGTAAAAATCCTTGAAAAATGTAAAATGTTTCCTATGAAGGCTCTATAAAATTCTCATTGTGAAACTCTGAATCCCAACAACTTTTCCAGAACTATCTGGAGGCTGTAACTGGCTAGAGTCCTCAGTCTTGATTCTTTGATAAACTCACTTAATTTTTGCTTGCCTCAATTTATTTACGCCAACAGTATGTCCTTAGATTCTTGAAACCTTTTTTAATTTAAAGGCTCTTCTGTCTTCTGTGATATAACCACTTCAGCTCTCTTTTGGCAACTATTTGCATGAAATATCCTTTAAAAATTCCTTTCTGTCCTCCCTGGTGGTGCAAGTGGTTAAGATGCAACCTATGAAGCAATCCTCAGCCACTGCAGCACAAGTTTGATCCCCAGCCAGGGAGCAACCCACATGGCACAGCAGACCTCTCCTGTCTCTCCTGCTGCTCCCCTCAGCAGTGTATTTCAGTGGATCTACCTGTTCTGCTCCCCACTCTGTCTCTGGTGAATCCTCTCACCCCCCCACCTCTGGCCTGTACCCCAGTTCTTATATGCATAAATAAATAAATCTTTTTAAAAAAATATTAAAAATATATAAATAAATAAACATGCCTTTCACTTTCAACCTATATGTGTCTTTGAATCTAAAGTGAGTCTCTTGTAGGCAGCACATAGTTGGATCATGTTTTGTTTTAAATTCATGCTGCCAATGTCTGATTTTTGATTTAAAGAAATTGCTGATAAGAAGGGACATCTATGTTTTGCTGTTTGTTTTCTAAATGCCTCAGAGTTTGGTTTTGTTGTTTGTTTGGTTTTCTTTTGTTCCTCATTTCCTTCTTTTGTGTTAGCTAATGTTTCCATGGTGACATGTCTGATTCCCTTCTCATTTCCTATTATATTCTATAGCTGTTTTCTTGGCTTCCAAGTTCCCTACTTTACATATTTATCTCTAAAGTTATAACACTTCAACTTGAATTTACATCAACTTAGCTTTAATAGCACATAAAAGTTCTGCTACTATACATTTCTATCATCATCTTTTTGTTACTGATGTCACAAATTACATGTTTGTACATTTTGCCAAACATAACACAGATTAATTGTTGGTGTTATGTATTTTCTTGTAAGTCATGTAGATAATTAAAGGTAGGGTATTAGTATAATAATGCTGGATTTTATAATTGCGTATCTTTATTAGAGATCTTTATTTCTTCGTGTGACTTTGAGTTACTGTCTAGCATTCTTTTCTTTCAACCTGAAGGATTCCCTTTAGCACTGTTTACAAGGCAATTCTAGTAAGCAGACACTCTCAGCTTTTGCTTATCTGGGTATATTTTAATTTTTCTTTCATTTTTGAAGGAGACAGTTTTTTCAGTTATACAATTCTTGGTTGAAAGGTTTTTTTTTTTTTATTTCAGCTCTTTGAATATTGCAGGAGGTGAGGGCAGGTGCTGTAATTTAAATTAAAATCACATGGCACTGGCTTAGACACAGAGCAAAGCACACAAGAAAACATATTTGAAACCAGAAGGATAGAGACTAATGTCTGACACACTTTGAAAGGTAGATAATGGATTTAATGAACCTGAAGCTTTAGGGGGAATGGTTGGAATGTAGAATGTTAGGGGTGAATGTTGACTGGAGTTGGTAAAAATTTGGAAGGCCTTTGAGATAGAGTCTGATTAGAATTCAGCTTTTGTCAGGGGTAAAAATCAAGGAAGGACACAGCACAAAGTAAATCATCATTAAACATTGTTAAAATCTCTGAACGAGAGTATTAAGATGGGAGTACTAAGATACCTAAGTGCACTGCTGAGGGGAGCAGTGGGGGAGTCAGGAGAGGTCTGCTGCGCATGTGGGTTGCTCCCTGGCTAGCCGGGGATTGAACTTGTGCTGTAGTGGCTGCAGACACCTTCATAGGTTGTGTCTTAACCCCTTGCACCACCAGGGAGACCCCAGAATATAGTTATTTTGAACGTGGAGTTGCCTAGAGGTTTACAAGAGTCCTTTGGTCCCAAACTTTGGGACAGAGAAAGCATGTTGAGAAATTGCTCCTGGGCCAAGGTGGGAAGATCTTCCAGTACTACCTCAGATGGAGCCAAAGAAGATACTAGAAAAGGACATCTCTCCTGGAGAGTGAAGACGTGAGCCATAGAGAACAAAGGTTTGAGAAGCCCCCCATCCCACCTGCTTGTCCCCAGAAGCTTATGATGATGACGATGATGTCTTTTTCGGTGCTAATTCAAGAATCCTCCCCATCTACAAGACATTGTATCTTCCCACTGAGTTTTAGAGGTTGCACAGCCCAATCCTTTCTCTGCGTCTCCCCTTCTCCCATTAGGTCTCATCCCGCCACTGTATATTGGGTCTGCAGAGGGCAAATGATTTGGCTTTTTAGCTCATTTGTTCTCGCTCAGTTTGATTCATTCCTGTCCAGCTGCTGTGGACAGCTGAGCTTTGAGCCCGCGGCCTAGCCCATGCTATCGGGCAATACAAACGGCACTGTGCTGTAGGCCGCACTGGCCCAAGGCTGGTTCCCAAGTTCTGTGGGTGACTTCACAATAGGTGGCTCCCGGCCGCCTTCTATAGTCCCGGGCCACCATGCTGGCCCCACTGTGGCTGTTTAGCCTTTCTCTCCCCACTCTGTGGACCCAGAAACTAATCAGCTGTACCTCCAAGAGTCTCTGCCAGCAGGCCCTGCTCTCGGGCAACGACGTGGTCCTACAGTGCGACCAGCCCAGAGCACTCTGGTACTTCTCATCCATTCTGGAGGAGGAGCCCATGCTGCTGTCCTTTATGTCTAACGTGAAGAAATTACCTGGGGGCAGCCTCCAGTTGACCAGCCCTCAGCCCACCCAGACGGGCCTCTATCACTGCCAGGACAGCAATGGCAGCCTCGTGGTGGACTATGAGATCGATTTCCAAGATGTCAGCGCCCTGCACATCACACACAAAGGCCTGGGCCAGAAGCCCCTGAGGAATGAGAGCCTGCAGCTAGGGGCCGGGGAGGTGGTCTTCACCCACTGGGAGCCCTGGCAGGACTGTAACCGCTGCAGGGAGCCAGGGGAGCGCAAACGGTTGGGGTACTGCTACATCAAGGACCCCCTGGAGAAGCCCATTCCCTGCTGGCTCTACCTGAGAGCCAAGAAGGTGCAGTCCAGTCGCCTGCGGCCCGAGCTGCAGGTCGAAGCCTGCCTTGATGTTCCCTGCGAGCACATCAAAGAAATTAACCAGCCATACTTCATCTTTGACATTTACCAGTTGGACAAGGTGACCAACAACATATGGCTCACCTGCCCGTTGGCCTCCATCTACAGGTGACAGCACCAGGGCACCAGCCCTGTCTTTGACCCCCCCACCTGGCTTTGTCGCCTGTGTCCACCCAGCCAGGGATTCACCTTCCAGCAGCCTCTGCCTCCCTGCCCAGTCTTCATGCTCAGTGTGGGAGGAACAGGGGTGGGGGGATGGGGGGGTGGGGAGGTGGAGGGTGGGGGATCCCTACACTGACTGGGCCTGACCGTTCATTCGGCGAGAATTCCCAGTACCCCTTCTGACTCAGGGCCTGGGCAGGGCATGTTGGGGACACAGAAGTGACCAACAAAGACCTAGTCTCTTCCGGCAGAGGCTCCTCATATTTAGGGGGAGACCAAAGGTAAAAACCTAGAGGCCAAGACACTCCAGCCCGTGTTTATGCCCTCATAGAGGCTAGTGTGGCTTCTGTCATCTTAGGGGACTCACACAATTTGTCTAAGTGCCTTTCACCTATACTTCCATGGCTTAGTTCTTATTCCTTTAAAATAAGTCAAAATACCAGGTAGCATTCGTTTTCCAGTTTTTTCTGTTGGGATAATGTGGTTATTCTTGGCTCCTTGTGTAGAACTTTTGGAAACAGATTGTAGTTTTTATCCAAAAACTTTTATTTAAAAAAAATTGGGACTTCATTGAATCGAAAGATAAATTTGGGTAGATGCGGTATATGTCATCTTTCAATCCATGAACGTTACAAAAACTTCCATTACGTAGGCTTTCTTTAATTTCTCCCAGTAATGTGTAGTTATTAATTTAGAGGTTTTACCTGTCTTTGATTATATTTATGCCTGCAGATTTGATTTCTTCATGCGATCACAAATAATCCTTTAAATTTCATCTTTCATCTTAGCTGTCGGTAAATAGAAACATGTTCAGTATTTGTGTCTGCCCTCGCACCTAATTAATTTGTTAAATTTACCGCCAATAAAATGCTAAACGGAGAAGTTGGTGGCAGGCACGCTTATGTTATTAATACTTCTCTATTAAGTATAATTTTGCTCCTAAGTTTTTAATAGAAAAGTGTGATCAGGTTAATAAAATTCCTCTTTAGTAGGCCAAAATTTTGAATCATGACTAAGTGTTTAGTTTGAGCAACTGTTTATTTTGCCTCCCTGAAGTAGGCCCAATGGGGTCATGAATTTATTTTATTTATTACTGGGGGCAATTTGCTAATATTTTGCTTAAGACATTGTGTGCATCTTTATGAAAGGTCTCACAGAAGCGTGGAAATGTTCCATCTTTTTTGACACCTGGTCAGGTTTTAAAATTTGATGCTATTTCTTAATTGGTGGGAAATTTTTGCAAGAATCCACTGGTAAAGTTTTCTGGGCTTAGAAGTGTGCTGTGCATGGGTTTTTAAGTATAGATTCTATCCCTTTAAGAGTAAATATAGACTTTTTCATGTGCCAGGGTTGTTTTTCAATTAATTTATCCATTTTATCTAAATGTTCAAAAGTTTTGGCCAAAAGTTATAATTTCCTCTCATCCTTTGATGGCTGTAAGGTGATCTGAAGTGATGTGTCTTTTTTCATTACTGACATTAGTTATTTAGCCTTTTTCTCTTTTTTTCCTCGATCAGTCTTCAAGAGCTTTATCAATCTCAGTCACCTTTTTGAAGAACAATCTCAGACAAACTTTTTTGGTTTGTTGATTTTCTTTATTGTACTTTTTTTTCTTTTGTGTAGAAGAACTGGGGTGTAGGCCAGAGGTGTGAGGTTGAGAGGATGCACCAGAGACAGAGTGGGAAGCAGAATAGGAGTATGGACTGAAATACACTGCTGAGGGGAGGAGCAGGCAAGACAGGAGAGGTCTGCTGCGCCATGTGGGTAGCTCCTGGGCTGGGGATCGAATTCGTACTGCAGTGGCTGAGGATAGTTTCATGGTGCTGTGACTTAATCCCTTGCGCCAGCAGGGAGGCCCTAGATCAATTTTTTTATATCTCTACTATTTTTTTCACGTGGATTTGCCTAACATTCAAAATTATCAGGTTTTACTTTATATGTTTTTAGGCTCATACCAACTTGGGTCCATTATATTTCCCTGTTGGAAAGATGTCATAGAAGCAATGGTTATAGGCTCTAGGCATACAGTTTATGCTAAATATAACCTGTGGAGGTTCCCCCCCGGGGCTCAGGACCATGACTGAGGGCGCCCCAGGTTCGGAAGCAAGGCAAGATGTCTTAGCAAGACCTAAGTGAACCTCTAGCCTCATCCATTCGCCATCTCCCTTGTCCACTCCTGTCAGTCACTCTGGCCTCCTTACCCTTTAAATATACTCACCCCCAGCATGTTGGCTCTGGTCCTCTCCTGGGACCGTTCTTCCTTCAAATACCCACATGGTCCATTATCCTACTTCATTCAGGCATTTATGAAACTTCCCATCCCAAGAGGCCTCAGATAGGCCTGATCATCCTCCCTAAAATAGCTCCCGCCCGCACACCATCCTCTCACTGTCTCTCCCCATTTCCTGCTCTGTTTTGTTTTTAGCAATGATGACAGTCAATCTTCATTATTCAATGCTTGTGAACTCACCTTCTTGCCAAAATTTCCTTGTAACCTCCAAGTCAATGCCCATGGCGCTTTTGGTGTCATTTACAGAAGCGTAAGGTTCCCGCAGCACAATCCCTGCCATGAGGCTGTGGAGGCTCCCCAACCCCCACAGACACTTCTCAGATGCCCAAGAATTGAACTCACTTCAGCTGCCTGCCTGGCCATGCGTCAGATTCCGCAGGTGAAGGACTCAGTCTCCTGAGACCACGCCCACTTGGGAGCCCAGGTGGTATGTCACCTGTGCTTCTGACTGACTCTAGATCAGAGGCCCAGGACACCTTCTTTAGGTTTGAATAATGCACTAGAACAACTCATTTACACACCATTTACGCACCACATGGATCAAAGTCCATTTACACACCAGATCACCCATTGATCACAAAGGATATAACTGAGGAGCAACCGATGGAAAAGACACAGGGCAGGGCAGAGGGCAAAGGAGCAGAGCTTCTGTGTCCTCTCCAGGTGTGTCATCCCCCAGGTCTCCAGATGTTGACCAACCTGGAAGCCACTCCCTTGGGGCTTTTACGGAGGCTTTGCTACACGGTGCATAGTCAGTTAGGTCACTGGCCATCAGCAATATTGACCTCAACCTCCAGCTCCTCCCTCTCCTCCCTGGGGGTCAGGGATGGGACTGGAAGGGCCAATCCTCTAATCACAAGATTGGCTCCCCTGGCAGCCAGCCCCCCATCCCAGGGTGAGCCCCCAGTCACCTCATTAACATAATAGACACCTTTCCCTCTCTATGCTTAGGAAATCCCAAGGTATTAGGGACTTGTGAGCCAGGAGCTGTGAATGAAGACCAAATGTGTGAGAAATATATATGGGCTATCTAAATAATCAAGTATATAGATGCCCTAGAAATCATAGCATCGCAGAGTGCTGACAGCTTGGCGTCCCTCACCATGCACGTTCCCAGCTGAGGCTGACTAGGCCACACTTGGTCCTGTTGTTTCAATTTTCCTGTATAACTGAGGAGCCATTTCACCATCTACCTGGTGCCATGTTTGTTGTCGTTTTTACTTTTGTGCTTTTTCTTGGTAAGTTTGTTGTTTCAAATGACCCCCAAGGGCCTCGCTGGTGACACAAGGGGCTAAAGACACAGCACTATCAAGCTATTCACAGCCACTGCAGCATGAGTTCGAGCCCCGGCCAGGGACCTACCCACATGGTGCAGCAGACTTCTCCTGACTCGCCTGCTGCTCCCCTCAGCAGTGTATTTCAGTCAGTCTGCCTGTTCTGCTCCCCACTCTGTCTCTGATGAATCCTCTCACCCCTCCCTGCACCTCTGGCTTATACCCCAGTTCTTGAATGCATAAATAAATAAATCTTTTTTTTTTTTTTTTGAAAGCCCCTAAGCAGAGGCTGAGGTGTTGGCTCATGTTCCTAAGTGCAGGAGGGCAGCCACGTGCCTCGTGGAGCAGATACCTGCTCGATAAGCTTTGTTCAGGCTTGATTTTAGGGCCGTTGGCTACAAGCCCAATGTTAATAAATCAGTGTGTATTAAATAAAGTGTCTTCACACAGAAATGGACATAAAAGCAGGTGATGTGTTGATCACTTGACAAAAATGTTATGACCCAAGGCTGTATTTCCTTACGAATAACCTCTTAGTATTTGCTAATTTGATGTTTATGACAACTTTATAGACCGGAGCTGCAGGGAATAATGAGAACTGATTGTATCTCACATGAGGTGTGACGTATTTGCTATTATCAGTCTCATCCACTGAAGGTGAGCTCGAGGAGGGCAGAGGCTTTGCGTAACCTATTTACTACTGTGGTCACAACAGCCAACATTTGCTTTCCGTCAGCATTTGTGAAGGGCAGGTCAAGTCTGCACAATCACTACTTTTAATTACAGGACGGAGAAGGTGTTAAAGAAAGGGTTTCAGGAGGTGCAACTGAGGAAAATATATATTTATTCAAAATAAGTAAAATCGATTTTAAGTAAAATAAAGTTGATTTTATTAAATTTCATCTTAAATTTGATTTTAAACAAAATCAAATTCCTGGAAAGAGCCAGGAATGAGCATGTGCCAAGGTCCTGAGGCCAGCAGAGCCTTTAGCTTGTGCTCTGGGCACAACAGAGAGGTCTGGATGACCCAAAAAGAGGGTTTCCAGGGAGAGAGCAGGAAGTAACCAGACAGGATTGACTCCCCACACTACATCCAGTGCAAAGTGTGCCCAGAACATAGTAGTGTCCAGAAGAAAAGTGTGGAATGCTCACCTGTGACACTTTAATACCCAAGCAGGGTGGTGGTAGAGAAACTCTGAACCAATAATTAAGTTTCTTCCTGTCCAAGCAGACTGGAGGCTGGGAAGAGAAATGAAATAAGGTGTTAACGCATCACAGAGCAGAAGGGGATCATGCTGTGTGCCCCCATTGGGGGCACTCCAGCTCACCCTGCTGCAGAGGCTGTGCCTGAGTTTCATGGGTGACCTCACAATGCCTGGGTGGTGCCCGCCCACTGCCCCAGTCCCAGTCCATCATGTCGATCGTCCTGTGGTTGCTGCTCAGCTCCGCCCTCCCGGTGCTGCGCTCCCAGATGTCCATCAGCTGTCCCACAGACAAACAATGCCAAAAGGCACTGCTCTCAGACAATGACATCCTCTTGCGCTGCAACATCTCTGGGGCTCAGTGGTTTTACGTCTTCCTGCAAGATGGTGCCGGCTGGTCCAGCAACCTCACCAGGGTCCCCAACCTAGGACTGACACCCGAGGGCCTCCTCATCAGAAGTCCACTGCCCTCCCAGACCGGCTTCTACCAGTGCAGGAACAAAGGCAACAGCAGTGTGGTGTACGGGATTGACTTCCAGGATGCCAACACCCTGCATATCACGCACAAAGGCCTGGGCCAGAAGCCCTTGCAGAATGAGAGTCTGAGCTTGGGCAGTAAGGCGTTCATCTTCACCCTCTGGGAACCCTGGCAGGACTGTAACCACTGCGAGAAGCCGGGGGAGCGGAAACGGCTGGGCTACTGCTACGTGCAGGATCCCCTGGACGTGAAGCCGGTGCCCTGCTGGCTGTACATGGGACACTTGAAGCTGTGGTCCAGCCGCATGCGGCCCGAGATGCAGGTGGAGGCCTGCCGCATCCAGTGCAAGAGTCTGCACGTGGAGTACGTCGTCTTTGACAACTTTGAGCTCAATGAGGAGTCAGAATCTGTGTGGCTCACCTGCCCTTTGGGGTCCATCTACAGGTGACAGAGGCTGACACCGGCATCCCCCGCCCCACCAGGCTCCCAGCCTGGAGACTGTGAGGTCAATCCAGAGGGGAGGGGGGTGGCGTCCATGCAGGTCAACCCCTCCCCCACACGTTCTTCCCTGCCTTAGGTGTTGCTTTGGCACGATCCCCTGGGGGCCACGCACTGTTGAGGAACAGGTAGAATGAGGACCAGCACTCAGGGAGGGCCTGGCTGACTCTGCCCTGCCTGGCTCTGGGCCAGACTCTGGACACAGTGGGCATCAGACAGCGGCAGGGCCTGCCTTCGGAAGCCCACGGCCTAAGGAGGAAGACAGCCAGGGTGCTCGGGGCTGGGATGGGGGCCGGGGGCGGGGCTGGAGGTTGTGCGGCTTTATGACCGCTGATTCATCTGGAGCATTAGCAAGCTTTGAGCAGAGAGGTTAGTGCCTCAGGGACACCCCTGGAGTTCTTGTCTTTCAGCCTGAAGCCCCTGGGAAATCTCCCCTTCTCCTCTTCCCTCACCCACCTGCTCTTACTCTAGTAATATGACCTACTACCACTCAGTGCAGTGTTTTCATCATGGGCTGGTGCCTGGGCAACCTCTCTTCATGGACCGCATCCTCTCATGTCCCTCCTCCCCTGCCCCAGGAGCTCAGGGTGGGGAGGTGCATACAACAGACAGGGAAACTGCAGCTTGGAGGGGCATCCTTGCCAGGGGATCCATGATGGGAGTGGCCGCACAGACCCTAAACCCCACATGCATGGGGCCCTGGGGCCCTCCTCACCTCCTTCCTCACATGGCAGTGGCAGCTCCTCCTCTGCAGGGGACACTGGTCAGAGGGGAGCCCCCGAGCAGCCTCTGGCATTTCTGCCACTCCAGGCACAGTGGTCTCTGGCCCCACCTCCATCTGGTTTTCTTTCCCTTATTTATTCCAGCTGGGACTCCTAGTCCTCTCTCTCTCTCTCTCTCTCTCTCTCTCATGCCCATTTGTGCCCCGTCTTTGCTTCCTCCTCCTTTAAGTATAAAAGTAGCCCCCATTCCCTAAAAACACCCCACAACTCAGAAGTGCAGGGAAGTGAATGTGACCCGTGACACTACACCCCTCCCACCCCACCCCCGCCTCCGCCCCAGCACTGGGCTGGGCACCCACTCCGCACCACTTGCCAGACTAGGAACTCCCGTGCCCCGTCTGTCTGGGGAGATTGAAGAGAAAACCGAGGGGGTCCCCAAGGCCTCTGTCTTGGGCTCCGGATTCAACCAGACCAGTCCAGGCTGCTTTATAGACTGGGGCCTGGGACCTGCGGCTGCCCTGGGGGCCTCAGCCTCCCTGTCTGTACAATCGGGATTTTGCTTATTACTAGTGCGGCCAGGACAAATACCACAAGCAGGGCGGTTTAAAACAAAAGTTACTTCTCTTGCAGTTCTGGAGGCTAGAATTCAAAATCAAGGTGTCAGCGAGGCTTCACCTGCCCCCACCCCAGGCGGGCGGGCTCCTTCCTCCAGTTTCCTTGGCTCGAGGCTGCCTTGCTCTAACCTCTGCCATCCAAGCTGCCTCCCTCTGACCTCCACCATCCCGGGCCTGCGTCTCTGGGTCTCCGGCTCGTCTTTTTCTCTAAGATGCAGTTCACCTTGAATTTGGGGCCCACCCCAGCATGAGCTCACCTTAACTAGTCCCACCTGCATGGCCCTATTTCCAGATAAGGTCACGGGCTGAGGCTCTAGTGAGGCCATGGATGGCAGGGGGAGGGGGGGACACTATGAGATTCAGCACAGAGGTTGTGCTGGCCCTGGCTTCATGGGGTGATGGTGATGTCTGAGGTGGTGCCAGTAAAGGCACGACTCGTGTGCCGGTCCCATGGCTGACAATAAGGGGGTGTCAGCCAGTGCGGGCGCGGCCTCTGGCCTTGTCAGTGTGCTCTGTGGAGCGCTCGGTCCACAGCCGCCAGGGCGTGTGGGACCTGGGATTCTCCTGAGCACTGTCCTAGGTACCTGGGATGCAGCGAAGAACAAAACTGACATTCCTGCCCCCGTGGAGCAAGACACAGTTACGTGAATAAAACATACAGTATTTCAGATGGTGATAGGGCAGGAGGGGGTAACAGGAGTGGGGAGGGAGAGTTTTAAATAGAGTGGCTTCTGAGCAGGAGGCATTTAGGCCAAGACTGGCGGGGGGAGGGAGCCACGTGGACTGAGGGAGAACGTTCTAGGTCAGGCAACAGTCAGGGCAAAGGCCCTGAGGCCGGACTTGTTAGATGCCAGCTTAGTAGAGAAGCATCTAGAAGGTCATTGAGGCTCAGGCAGGGTGAGTGAGCAGGAAGGTGGAAGGAAGGAGGCCAGGCTGGTCAAGAGAGGCATAAATCCTTTAGGGAAAGTTCTTGCTAATCCTCCCAGTAAGCCGCTGAGGTAGGTGCAGTCTTTACGCCCATTTTCAGATGAGGAATTGGAGCTAAAGACTGTGGCCGGGTCTCCCACTCTGTAAGGGATGGCTCTGAGCATTCCCAGCGCCCTGCTTCTTCTCTCCGGGGGGAGCCTTCTGTGTGCCGTTCCCAAGGGAGGGAGCTGAGCCCGGCCTACCCCCTCTCAAATACCCTCTCCCCCTCGGAGTGCTGCAGCTGACCTTGTCCTTTTGCAGGCCCGTCATCTGGGAAGCCAACAGCGTCCCCCTGACATGGCAGGGCCAGCTTTCGGGCCAGACCAGCAGCACGGTCCTGGATCCCTCCAATGGCGGCCGGCGGCTACAGATCTTCCAGCCAGCCATTTACAAGTGCTTCGTGCAGCAGGAGCTGGTGGCACGTTTCAACCCCAAGCCTGACCCCGAGATCCTGGTCATACAGAAAGAGGAGGCTGAGTCCCAGGAGGACACGCACAAGGGGAAGGCCGACTCAGTCCTCAGGGGGCTGAAGCTCATGCTGCTGGTGGGCACGGCCCTTGGCCTGTTCCTTGTGCTCTTCAAGTTCCTCCACCCTTCCCAGGACAAGAGGAGCAAGCAGGTGCTGCTGGTGCAATAAAGCAAGGCTTCATGCCGAGACCCGCCTCCCGCCCCTGCTGGCCTCGCTGGCCTCCCCTGGCAGCCCTCGTGCCTGCCCCCACCCCACTCCAGATGGGTGTGGACAAGACCGGCCTGGGGCCACAGCTAAGGGCCACCGAAACCTCCCCTGTTCTGGGTCCTGCTCAGTGAACTCATTAGCTACCACTGCTGCACAGATGGGGAAACTGAGGCAAGACACTTTCTGCTAATTGGAGGGGGCTCTAGTTCAAGCTGTCTCTTGACCCAAGTTGCCCAGCTCAAGCCCTGTGTTCCTCACAGCGAGGAAGGCAGGAGAATGGGATAAGGCCATTTCGGGGGTGAATCTCAGGTGTGGAAAACCTCACTCGCCACACTCCCCAGAGGATAAGAGCTGAGACACAGGAAATGGGAGTGGGTAACCCCAGAGCCACCAGTCTGGGCTGGGCCTTTTCTTCCTGTTGCTTGCCTCACCGGCCCCTTTTTGTGCCTAGGGCCTTCAGGCTTAGCTATAGCACCCCAACTCAAAAGGTGCTGCTGGAGCAGGAGCTGCCAGGCATGTGTCACCCTTCCTGGCTTTTGCAGTGGAGACACCCCTCCCACCAACACACACACACCCCTCAGAAGAAACCCTGAGCTGGGAGACAGGCCTCCCCCTCAGACAAGGCGCCAGACCTGGCCCAGCCAACCCACGGGAATCACCAGGCCTGGCTGTTCCCAGAAATTATGTGCACTGTTTAGCACAGGGCAAGAGCCAGAGATAAAATATTCATGCCATTGAGATTCATTATCCTGAGATTCCATTGTGAGGCAACCACAGAACAGATTTGAAACTTCCAGAATAGAGCTTTTGTCCCAGAGGGGAAGGCAGAGTGTACCCCTCATTTCGGGTGGTGCTAGAGATGCAAAGATTCCTGCAGAAATGGTGGGAGGTCCACTGGGAAGCAGAGGCAGAGAATCATGATAACAGTGAATACCCGTGGGCCTCCTGGCAGGGTCAGAACCAAACCCCTCACAAGCATTTTCAGGCTGTGGCTACCGTGGACTTTGCTTTGCAGCTGAGAAATCAAGGTGCAGAGGGCTCCATCAACCTGCCTGGGGGTACATGGTGAACTTGGGAAGGGGCCAGCGATGATCTTTGCCTCTCCCGCCCCCACCGCCACCTGCTCCCAGGAAGCCCACAGTGTCAGCTGCCCCGTCTGGGTCGTGACCGGAGGGGGCTCAGCCTGAGCCTCACAAGAGTCCAACACCCAGGGGTGACCCAAGTCCCACCACCCATGACCCAAGTGGTTGGTGCCCCGCAGTGGCAGGCAGACCCTCAGGTGCCCCAGACTTCTGCTTCTTGGTGCCCCCGTCAGTGTGGACGGCACCAGTGCCTGACTTCTAACCAACAGAATCTCGTGACGATTGGGGTGTCACTCCCTTGATTAGCTGCATCATATAAAGCTGTCCTGCAGGACAGAGGCCCGCGGGCTGGCAGGAGGAAGCTCCCTGGCAGGTTGCTGTGGGCAGAGCCTAGGAGCCGATTTGAAGTAAGATGGGAGCTCCCGGAGGCTTTTGAGCCCTGGTGGGGTGGGCTTTGATATCCATTTTGTTTATTAAAATATTTATATTTTATTTTATTTTTGCATAAAACTGGGGTGTAGGCTGGGGGCGGGTGAGAGGATTGATGTCCATTTTTTCAAAGCATTTATTTTGTTTATGCATCCAAGAATGGGGGGAAGGCCAGAGGTAGGAAGGGATGAGAGGATTCACCAGAGACAGAGTGGGGAGCAGAACAGGCAGATCTACTGAAATACACTGCTGAGGAGAGTAGCAGACAAGGCAGGAGAGGTCTGCTGCGCCCGGTGGGTCAGCTCCCTGGCCAGAGATTAAATTCATGCTGCGGTGGCTGTGGACAGCTTCAGAGTGCTGACGCTTAACACCTTGTGCCACCAAGGAGGCCCTGATGTCCTTTTTTTTTTTTTTTTTTTAAGATTTATTTATTTTATACAAGAGTCGGGGTACAGGCCAGATGCGTGGGAGGGTGAGAGGATTCACCAGAGACAGAGTAGGGAACAGAACAGGCAGACTGACTGAAATACACTGCTGAGGGGAGCAGCGGGCGAGACAGGAGAGGTCTGCTCACCATGTGGGACCCTCAATGCCTGACCGGGATCGAACCAGCACTGCAGAGGCTAAAGACAGCTTCACAGCACTGCTCAACCGCCTGCGGAACCAGGGGAAGCCCCCTGATGTCCATTTTAAAAGGAGATTCAGAAAACGTAGAGTTCTGTGACCTTACAAGTGAAGGTCAGCACCCCTAGGCCAGAGTGGGGTGTCAGTCCCCCCGCAGGTGGCCCCCGAGACAATGAGAAGTTTCTATCACTTTGCAGAAGAAATGGCCAGGACTGTCCTTGCTAGCCCTCCCCACCCCTGCAGAAGCAGCCTAAGACAAAACATGCCCCATATTCCATTTTTAACTGTCTTGTTCCACCCCTTTCCCTTCCGTGTTGTAAATTTTTAAAAGACTTGATTATTTTTTTTAGAACAGTTTTCAGTTCACAGCAGACTGAACAGCCAGGACAGAGAGTTCTCATACACTCCTGTGCCCACAAAGACCAGCCCCTCTCCCCGACATCCCACACCAGTGTTAGAATTAGTGGCCCTACAATGATACATCATCATCACCAGTTCCTGGTTTACACTAGGGTTCATTCTCCGTGTTGTATATTGTGTGGGTTTGGTTTTTTCTGATTTAATTGACCTAGAGTAAGGCCTGAGGGTCTAGGGGTGCAGACCTTTTTACTTTTCAAGCTAGAACTCCTATTCTGGTGCTCTCACCAGAACGGTCTTAGTCATTAAGTAGTAATCCCCAGAATTTATAAAATAAACGTTCAGCCAACTTAGAGTACTACGTAGTTATTAATTAGCATCCTCTTGAGCTGGCTGGTTACTATGTACATTGCACAAACTCTTTTTTGATCCAATTGTCTATTGACGGCCATTTAGCTGCTTCCATGTCCTTGCTATTGTATTGATAAATAATGTTGCTATGGACGATGTGGCGCATGGCATTTTTTGTGTTGATGACTTCATATTCTTTGGCTGGATGCCCAAGAATGAGATTGCTGGAACTTAGGGTAGTTCCATTTTTAGTTTGTTTGTTTTTTTTTCCCTTAAAAATCTATTTATTTATTTATTTATTTATTTGTACAAGAATCAGGGTACAGGCCAGATATGCCGGAGGGTGAGACGATCCACCAGAGACAGAATGGGGAACAGAACAGGCAGACTGATGAAATACACTGCTGAGGGGAGCAGCGGGCAAGTCAGTAAAGGTGGGTCACCTCCCTGGCCAGCTGGGGGATCGAACTTGTGCTGCAGTGGCTGCGGACAGCTTCATGGGTTGTGTCTTAACCCCTTGCACCACCAGGGAGGCCCCCTCACTGTGGTTTTAATCTGCATCTCTCTTATTGGACGTGATTCTGTTTGGTGAACTGTCTGTTCATATTTGCTGCCCATTTATTAATTGGGTTGTTTGTTTTCTTATTGTTGAATTGTGTGAGTTTTTTTTAATATATCTTGGATATTAACCCCTCAGCAGTTATATATGGAGTAAATATTTTCTCTCATTCAGTAAGCTGTCTTTTTAACCTTCTTATATTTTCTTTGACTGTATGAAAGCTTCTCACTTAAGATAATTCTAGTTGTTTATTTTTGTTTTTATTCCCTTGTCATAGGGAATGTTTCCAAAACATCTTTATCAAAATCTATGTTTACTTCTATATATTTTATTGTTACAGGTCTTATATCTAAATCTTTAATTCATTTGGAGTTTATTGTTGTGTATGGATCAGAGAGTGATCCAAATGCTGGGTAATAGCCCCAATTTTCATTTTTCTAGGTTGTTAAAGGAGTGGCAAATTTTCTCCTGAGCTAGAGGGCCTTGATTAACCTTAATTTGAAATCATCCACATGCTAAAGTGAGGTGTCTTTGGAAAACCTGCCCCGGACATCTTGGGGAGATTCATTCCTCAGGATCCGATCTAACTGAGCTCTCAACTTGTTATAACTGCAGTGCAGCTGCCTTTCCTGAACAGGAAGGCCTCATACAGGGTGCACCTCTTCCCAAGGGAGGTCTCTGTGTTGGTGACATGAACTGCAAAGGGGCTTGGAAGTGAGTGGGCCACTGGGCAGCCACTCTGGAATGATCCACAGCTAGACAGAGAAGGCAAGGACATTCAACAGGAAAGAGGTATTTTCTCAGCGGTTTCTTTGTCTTTCATTTTACCTCTTTTTTAGGATGAATTAATTAATGTCATTAATTGAGTGCTGATCCTCTGCCAGGCACTGTGCTAAGAGCTGTAGGGTAATGAGCTCATACCTTCTTCATGACCACCCCAAAGGATTCCTATTTTGCATAGAAGAAAACCAAGGTCCAGAGAGGTGAATTCACTTCCCCTTGATACAAAGTGAGTGTATCAGTGATGGCTGCAAAACAAAATATCCCCCAAGTCAGAGAATTAAAATAGCAAGCATGTATTATGGCTTATAAGTCTACACACTTGCTGGGCAATTCTTCTGGTCTTACTGGTACCATTTCTGCTTCTCTGATCAGCAGTGGGCGGGGATTGGCTCTGCTGACCTTGACTGAGTCCTCTCACCTGTTCAGGAGTCTGCAGGCTGGACTAGGTCCCTTGGGCTGGGGCACTTGGGGTCTCTGTCACATGGTGTCTCATTCTCCAGCAGGCCAACCCAGGTCTGTCCACACAGTGGTGGCAGGAATCCAGAAGTGCACAGAAGCTGCAAAGTCTCTTGAGGCCCAGGCTCAGAACTAGCCATGTGATCTGAAGGTCAGGGCTGGGGAAGGCCCCTGGGCAAGGCTGGATTAATCTAGGGGATCAGTTATCTACTGCAGCATGAGCAACCACCCAAGACTCAGTGGCTTGATATAATTATTTCTCTCTCCATTCTATGGGTTAGTATTACAGGCTAGACTCAGTTGGGTGGCTCTTCAGGTTTTAGCCAGGCTATCGTGCAG